TGAAAAGGAAATCTGAGGAAGAAGGTAATGGTGCCAAACTTGAAAGAGGCCTTGCCAAACTGTAGTTTCTTGGATGCATACACGTAGCATGAGTGGAAGATATGGAACACAGGATTGCCCCTGGAGATGATGTGACAGTAGGAACATTTTCAACTAGATAGCAGGACCAGTACGAGCTACCTCTGCAGAGAGAGAAAATAAATAGATTCAGGAGCCCAAGAAAAGAAGAGCTACTTGAGCCAGAGTAAGTTCACAACATGAACTGTTATACTGCAGAAACCTTTTCCTCCAATTTATTACTCCCTCCGTTCCTTATTATAAGAGACAAATAACCAAATTACGTTGATAAAAAAAACAATTAAAATTAGTTGAGAACAATTAATGTGTAAAAAGTATAATGTTTTTTCCAACAATGCCCTCATTAATAAGGAGAGAGAGTATGAGAGAGAACAATTAAATTATTAAAAGAAAGAGAAGTGGGAGGGAGAGAGAGTATGAGTTGGACACAAAATAAATAGGGGTAAAATAGGAAATCAATACAAAAAAATAGAGATAACTTTTAAGTGTCTCTTATATATGGGAACATGCCATAAGCATCAAATGTCTCTTATAATAAGGAACGGAGGGAGTATAATTTACCATTAAAACTAACAGCTCAAGAGGAAAAAAGCTTTGTTGAGTTGAGATCTTTAAATATATAAATATAATCTGAGAACACAATAGGCATACATGGTGTTATCCATAGCTAAAGGCAATGCCAACACGCAATAGTTTATAGCCTTTAAAAAAAAAAAAACACACACACACACACAGTTGTGCCTTTTTAAAAATTTTGAGGTTTTTCTCTGTGCTTTCCAACGTACACAGTACAAGCGCATCTAGGAAGTGTCCTAAGAGAAATTTTTATATTTTTGCAGGTTTTCGTGGGAAAAAATGAAAACTAAAAAAACCTTCAAAGTCTTCTGACGTTCCTTTTCAAATTTTGAAACTATCAATTTAACTTAGCAACATCTGTTCAGGTAATCTTACATAATCGCAGTTGCTTGATAAGAATATAAATCAAGATGCAATTCATGGAAACTATAATATTAACATCCTGAATTTGAAAAGTAGATTGTTTGGAAAGCTCCAAATTTGAGGTAAAGAATTTGAGAGAAAGTTCGGACAGTATGATGATTCATCAGAAACACTGCAATAAGTGAGCACTTGTATCAATAACTATGATTTTGCGAAGGGACAATTTCTCAAACGTTTTTCATTCACAACAAAATAATTTTTTTGTGCTGCAATAGTCATAGTCCTTGGCAGTTCGAACATTCTATTTATTCTTATCAGTTTTACTCCTTGGCAGTTTGAACGTTCTATTTATGTATGTTTTCAATGATTGTATATTCTTGTTTTGGAGAGACTCCAAGGAAAAACTACAGCAATCCATTTTCCAGCTCTCGTAAAAAAGAAAAACAGTTAATAGAGTGTTAATTTTAATCTGGAACCTGACTTCTAAGCAGCCATAAAGTTCTACAGCCAAAAGAAAAACTGCAATCCAATAGTAAGGGGAAAATGGTTTCTTCTCTTATCATTGCTTTCCAATTATTTTACAAGCAACCGAGCAGAGAAAGAAAATTCAGAACTACAAAATAAGCAACTGAACAAGGGAACAAACATAACAGGAAAAGAACCAATGCGATTCAAATAGAGTAATGAGTTCAATAGAGAGAGAGAGAGAGAGAGAGAGTGTGTGTGTGACAAGGAACCTCTTGAGTGGATAGGGAAAACAGCGACTGAATCCTCTGATTGAAGCTCCAGCAAACATAGAATCGCCGAAATCCCAAATTTCAGCTGAAAATCGAGATTTAAAAAAACAGAGAGAAATAAAGGGGTCAATGCTAAAGCATTTTGGATTGATAAAGAAATCGATGATCCAAATTAAACATCTTGAAGCATTCTCATGGGGCCAAAAAGTCGAAGTGCCCCAGTCATCGCGTCGAACATCCAACTCAACCAACTAGATAATATTTCTAGTTTCCTGTAAGAAAACTCAAGAATCTAAACCTAAAATCTGAGATAAATCAAGCAGACATGGAATTGGCACCTTTTGTACACGGTCTCAAGATTTCCTTACTGCATCAGTGTTCCAGTATAAATGGCGACTTGCAGCAGCCCAAGCAGGGAATTGCGCCGCGGGTGGTGCCCTGAGTACTGAGTTAGTGAGTTAATTCTAAATTATTTTTCTTCCGTTATAAAATGAAAGCATTAAGCTCGACCCCTTTTTTGGGCCCGTCGGTCTGAAGCGCCACCTGAAAAAGTTTAGAATAATAAATTAAATTATTAAGTCAGTTAATTAAAGTGAGTAAATCAATATTAAAGCCATATCAATATTAATATTAATATTAATATTACCTCCGATCCTAATTATAAGAGCTAGTTAACTAATTTAAGAAAATTAAAGAAAAAAGTTAAATTAATTATTTGTAATAAATAGGTATTATCTTTTTTAAAATATCATTACTAATCAAGTATATTGGCTAGAACTGTTATTGTTAAAATGACTATTTTAGAGGAAAAAATACATAAATATAAAAAATAAAATGGATTGAGGTTTTATATTTAAAACTACAATAAAAGTCAAACATGATCTTATATTCGTATTAAGAACTGGAGATAGTATTTAATTAAACATATAAATATTTTCTGGGGTTTAAATTATGAACAATTTTATTTAAAATAACTATATTCAAAATACTGTCAAATACTAAAATGTTAAATATAAATATTTCTCTCTATTAGAATTCAAAAGTTGGCTCCAAACTAACACAAATGCACAATGGATGCATGAGCTATGGCTAAGAGCAATCAAACACGAGCAGCGTATGTTATATGGGTTTAAGCTCGTCTTGTTTCATATTTATTGGGCAGGCCCACACGAACTCAATTTTATCTAGTGGGTATAATTATGACTCTATTAAAATTGGGTCTAATAAAAACAACTGTTCCTTACAATATAACAAACCAAAATTTAAATTATTATTAGAAAAGATGTTTATATTTAATATACGATAATATCTCAAATAGGATTACTTTTAACGATAAATACATATGATTTAGCCAACAAAAAAAAAACAAAGAAGTTATGAGTCTTCGTTGGATTAAATTTATATAGCTTATTTGGATCTATTTATTTAAGTGTTTATAAACGCATCTCATATGAATTAAGATAAAATTTTAATCATATATTTATCACATATTTTATAAATCACAATTAAAAACTGTTTATAAATCTTTCTAAACAAGCTTATAATCAATCAATGGACAGAACCTTGGTCTTATTAAAAATATCAAAATGCCACTCTCAATGCTGAAATGATGAGCTAAAATCTTGATTTAACCATAAACGATGTAAAAGAGCTTTTGATAATCAATTATCATAAATTATAATTCAAGAAAATCTATTTTATAAATCACTTTTATCCAATATCTGTCCTTCTCACCCTGATCCCAACACATACTAACATCAAGTACCATAATAATTGTTTGGTTGAGAGGGCTTTACAAGTCCAACTCGCTTGATTCGAATAAGGTGCTTGGTTGTTGAATCATACACACACACATATATATATATATATATAAAAGATAAAATTCCAGAAAAAACTCTTGGAATATAAAAAATTTCAGATTTGGTCCTAAAATTTCAAAAATGACAGAAAGAGTCATTAACCCAATCTGTCATTTGTAAAATTAAGATGAATTGACAATTTTGCTCCTGACTAAGCAAAAGTGAATAGTTATTCTCTAAACAAATCTAGGTAACGCTTATACTGTTCCAGTGATTACAAGATTAGTTGTAGTTAATAATAAGGTACCTGACTATGAAAAAGTGAGTAGTTATTCTCTACATGAATTTAGGTAATGCTTACATTATTTTAGTGATTACAAAATTAGTTGTAATTAATAACAAGACACCTGACTATGAAAAAGTGAGTAGTTATTCGCTACATAAATCTAGGTAACACCTAAACCCTTGTAGTGATTCATTAAATCGTTGTAGTGAATGAATACAAATGAGGACAAAATTATCAATTCTTCTTGATTTTACAAATGACAAATTGGGTCACTGACCCTTTCTGTCATTTTCGAAATTTCAAGACCCAATCTAGAATTTCTTATATTCTAAGGATTTTTTTTGGAATTTTCCCTAAAAAAATACCTAGTCTATACGCCAACGCCGATAACGCTAAAGATTTTTGGATTGTGACGTTAGCATTTAGGAGACATCTAAATATCTTATACTCGTATTTGTTTTAGATAATTTTAACAAAAATGCATGTGAAGATGAAAGGATAAAAAATAAATAAGCAATCAGTCCGGAATTATACGCCTCTTGCAGCTGTCAAATTTGAGTTCCATTAGAATGCAACCAGGTTCCCTCCTTTTTAATGGGTATTTGAAAACCCATTAAAAAAAAAAAAAAGTATTTTCAAGCAAATCTAAATAAAATTTCTGTCACGTTATTTCAAACTCCATCACTTTTTAATTACCAGTTCTTCAGTAAGAAGCCCAGTGTCAGACGCAATATATTCGGTTTGTACCTGCAAATTCAACATTTTGGTTCCCATAACATATGCGAGATCATGATTTCTGTGATAATAAACGAAGCCATCAGTTACCAACCGGTAAGAATAAGATGCTGTATTAATGCTTCTGATATTACAGAATCACTGAAAAATTTTCTTGTAGATTTTCCATCTTGAAAGTCGCAACTATTGGGATTCTTGCAAAGTATGCAACTTCCAGTATGCTAAATCTTGCAAATAATTTTGTCCTCTGATAGATCTCGAAGCAGGCTAAGCAGCGGCAAATTGTTATTGCGGAGAAAAGAAAATGTAAAAAGGAAGCTACGCCTAATTTTTCCTACTCCGAATTGTACAGCGGGAAATATCTATGAGCCTTAGATGCATCAACGTATTTATTTTACTCTGAATCATGATAACATTTTCTGTATTTTCAACCTCATCTTCACGTTTGAAAGGAAAAACAATGTGTGATTAGGGTCCCAGGCTTGAGCATCTCTCTACCTGTCATCTCCAATAATCCCTGAGGTAGTACTGGTTGAGTAGAGCGAATCATCTGTTATAGATCTATCTCCAGATGCATCTTCTTCATCTTCCGACATCAATGGAACCACCTCAATCTTCTCTACTTCTCTCACCACCTCCCTCATGTCTGGCCGATTCTCAGGGAACCTATCGGTGCAACGCATCGCGATCTGAAGCAATCTCAGCATCCCAGGAAGTGCATTTCTCTGCACAGAAATTTCCCTATCGAATATCTCCGCCGTCCATTCTTCCCTCACTGCTCGGTGGACCCAACTACAGAGATCCGACCCGGTAACCCCGGTTGGGGCTGAACACACAGATAATCTGCCTGTTAGAAGTTCTATGAGAAGGCTTCCATAGCTCCAGACATCAGATTGCTTTGATACTTTTCTTGAGTACCCATATTCGGGTGATTTGTAAACGACCATTCGTTGAGCTGCAATGGGTTGTGCTATGAGGGAGGAAAGTCCGTAGTCAGAGATGAGAACTGTGTCGTTTTCATCTAGCAGGACATTTGAGGACTTCAAGTTTCCATGGGGAGCCATGGTGCTATTGGGCTTGGCATTGAGATGAAGGTAAGTTAATCCTCGGGCTACCCCTTTTGCCACTGATAATCTTGAGTTCCATGTGAATGGAATCCGGTTTCCACTTCTGTTTCCTGCAATGAATGTCCAATCCAGGTCAAATTGATTTTTCCCTTTTTCGGGGGGAAAAAACAAAGATAAGAAAGGTTTGAACCTTTATCTTTTTATTCACACCTTGACAGATTAACAAGACGGAAAAAAATTACTTATTTAGGTAAATACTTATGGTTCACTTAATTTAGATTGTTAGAATTATTGTTATTTTTTTACTCCTCAGATGTGAATGCATCCTGGTTGGTGACTCACTGAATCATCTGGAAGTATTAGAGAGTTTGGTATTTAGTCATGCAACAACTAGAATGACCGTAATGTAAACATCAGAATGTTCCTAATTTGTTTAACACATTTTTAAGTAGAATATAAAGCGTGTCAGAGCAAAATGATTGGCGGAAGAAGCAATTGGTTTGTGTAGCTAAGCATACGTACTTCCATATTACAGAATCTGGGATTGGACTCTTTCAGAGTTTTAGATAACTGACACTCATTATACTCAAACTTCCTGGGAAATATTATCTCATGGAAGGGGGAATGTTGCTATTTGTTGCTATAAATTTAATGGTTTATAAGGCAAAGCAACGCAAGAGTGAAATTACCGTGCAGCCTGAAGAAAAGATTTCCCTTCTCTGCATATCTGTAGAGCAGCAACCTCTCATCTCTGGAAATGTAGTAAGCAAGCAAAGGCAACAAATTCGGATGCCTCAAATCAGCAATTCTATGCAATTGCTTTGCAAAGTCCTCTCTTGTCATTGGCCTCAGGTCCCTTAGCCTCTTCACAACAACGGAACCTCCTCCATTCAGCATAGCCTTATAACTGTTCCCCATGATTCCCTGACCCAGGGCCTCTGCAGAAGCTTTTAAGAGTTCATTCATTTGAAACTTTGGTTCATCCGTAAAGAATATAAGCTCCCTCTTCTCTTCTACTGCCATCACCACTGGACTGTGATGATTTCTCATTTCGACCTTATCGACAGTACTCTCCGCCACATCTCTATCAATAATGGGAATCTGCTGCTTCATAATATTGTTGAGCTTCTTAACTGTCTTGTAGTAAAGAAAAGCTAGAAAGATTATTGCAAACAGGAGAACCACATTGAAAATGATTAGAATAGTGGAAGTGTTATCTTTCTTTGACGATCCAGTCTGGTTCTGGGCCTCATCGTTTTCTGGGTCGTCTGTTGGTGCTGCTGGAATTGCAGCTTTCAAGCTGGAGCTGCAGGAATTGAGAGGAGGACCATATAATCTGGGGTTGCCAGAAAATGAATGAGGCCCCAGTAATCGAACAGTTTGAGTTACTCTGATTCTGCCATGAAGATCATTGCCTGACACATTGATCATCTTCAAACTTGGTTGACTGAACTCCGGAACCGGACCTGTGAGCTTATTATCTTGCAGCAACAACGCTTCCAAGAAGTTAAGATTCAGAAGGGATCTTGGTATTGCCCCATCAAACTCATTGCCTGACAAATCAATATACTTCAGGTGATGATTCTCCGAGAAATCCATCACATTTCCCTTCAGGGAATTGTTCTTGAAGCTCAGAATAGACAATTCTGTAAGATTAAAGAATGCCTTGACATCGATTTTTCCTGTTAGCTCCATGCCTTCCAGTACTATCCCAGTGACTCGACCACTGGTACACTGAACCCCAAACCATCTTGACGGTTCAGTCTCATTGCAAGGGAAGCCAGTCCAGTTATTATTCAGAAAAGGGTCATTGAAAGTGGCCTTGAGACCATAAAGAGCATCTTTCTCCGCAGGGTTACCAAGAAGACTATCTTGAGCCATGACAAGCGTTTTCATTAATTGTGCAGCAAGAAGAATAGCAACGAGAACATGATCAAGAACAAAAAGTGGAAACCCCATGAGCTTCAAATTGAAAGCAATGTAAGTTGCTCTAGGACATGGTGAGAATTAATCACAAGTAAAGATGACTTCAGTGACGTGAGAGATGTTCCCATATGGACTCCAGGACAGCTAAACCAGTCCTGGTTATTCGAAGATAACAAGGGAATCTAGCCATGCATTATTCTCCTGTGATTACAAGGCAGTGCTGTTGTGCATAGTTTAGCAGATTTCAAGAGAAACAGCTACATATGAAGCCGAAGAAAATGATGTTTTTGGCTTTATCTTGTGCGTATGACCTTCAAAATAAGGTGTCCTAGGAAGCCAATATTATTTTAGTGTTCCGCAGTTCGTACATAAAATTCAGAGGCAAAAACGAGTTAACTCGTCCAAACGTGGGAAACAAATTAGGCTGTCATAGGCTCGTAGCTGTATAGTACTTTTCCAATTCGTAAAGTGGGACCTAATTAGAGAATTAATATTGTTTCTATATATAAAATATATTTACCTATTTTTTCAAATTAATCTTATTAATATTTTCCTAATAATAATTAGGTAGGAGAGAAAGGGAGGAAAGTAAGCAAGATTTTAGGGTTTTTAAAAAAACATATATTAGTTAATCTTACTAATATTCTTAATCTACTCGGGGGTGTTTGGATGGAATCAAAATCGTAGTTTTAAAAATGATTTTATGATATACGAAATAAATATGTAAATAAGTTTATTTTGATTTACAAAAAAGTATTTTTAAAAAACACTTTTCCAAGTAACCCAACACCCTCTCTGTCACATCCCGACTTTTGGATCTAGAAATATCAGAATTAGCCTGAATTGGACAGACTATTAGACCCCTTTTGACAGAGGTTCCAGAAATTTCCTAGAAGGACATTAGGATTCCTAAGGACTAAATCACAAAAGGAAAATTTTCTAGGACTGAGAAAGGAGAAAGTTAGAGACTCTAGTAAAGTTTCAAGGCCTAAGGATGAAAAATAGAGATGAATGTAGGCAAATAGTCATGTTGGAGGCCTGAATTATGTGAATTTTGAGATTAAGCCAAACCAAAGACAAAATTGTAATTTTACAAAGTTTTGGGTTGGTAAGGGCAAAAATGAAAATTATGCCCAAAAATCCTAGAAAATGGAAAATAGTAAGTTAAAGCCTGAACACTTCAGAAAATTTCTAAAAAAATAGAAATAAGGTTCAATGGCCTGTATAGGGCTAAAAATAACGAAAATGCCTATAAAAGGAATAAGTGGAATTCCTAGGGTTTTAACTAATTTTGAATATTATTGAAAATGAATTATTTAAAGCATAGGAATGCCTCAAATAATTGGAAGAAAATGGAAAAAAAAATACTTGAGAAATTATCACAGGTTTTAAAAATAATTTCGTCCCCAAAAAGCAAAGAGGTTGGTTTTAATAGAATTTAAAGTCTATTTATACACTATCTGGAAAAATTCAAAGTCAAAGGTCTAGAAGTTGACTTTGGACTTAAGAAAAATTAGAAGAATTTCTCGTGATGAATAAACAGTATTGGTAACCAGAGATAGATTCTGGGAGTTGTGGACCGGTAGAAAGAATTAGGTCAAGTTCACTCCAAAATAAATATTATTATTAATTATTTTAATTATTTTAATCGAAGAATAAGGCAAGAGCATCACTATCTCTTTGAGCATGTTATATAATGTCATGTGAATTTATTTAAGGAGAGAAATGGTGCCATAACATATCCCAGTAGTCCCAGGTAAGTCAGGACCCAAAAAAGTACCATATACGGTACAGGATGGCAAAATAGGTGGAGGAATATCTAAGAGTTATATTTTACACGAAGTTGATATTAATTTCCCCCTATTTTAATGCCTTAATGATGAAGAAATATGAAGGAGACAAGTATACAGTTAGATAAGAAAAGAAGGTATTATGTGTACGGCTGGATGCAATACATGTGTACGGTCGGATGCAAGACATGTACACGATTGGACTAAAAGTATGTGGATTGATGATGTAAGCATGATGTCATCATGATGAGGTAAACATGATGTCATAGGACACTTGTCACCACAAGATTAAAAGAGAAAATGGACAGTCTAGATTCAGTCTTGTTTTTTATAAATACCCCCTCTCCACTCCTCATTTCATCCAAGCTCATGGAAACCTTAGGGAAGCTCTGGCAAAATGGTTTCTAGAGAGAGAAAGAAGAGGGAGAAAGAAAGGCCAAGTGGTCATATGCAAATCAAGCTCTAAAACAAGGTATGTTCATGGTTTTTAATAGAGTTTTCATTATTCTTGTTGTTGTTGATCTTGGTTATGAATTTCAATGATTTTTGGGAGCTTGGAACCCTTGGGGGAGGTGCTGCTGCATGAAATTGTTAAATGTGAGGAGAGATGAAATTGATATTAGATTAATGTTCAACTATTTGAAAGGAACACAAATCAAGTGGTTTTATGCTAAAATTAGTTGAATTTCATTAGTATAACTTGAGGAAATATTTCAGCTAGACCTTGTTCTTGTGTCTAGGATGTGATTTTGATGATTTTGATTATTCCAATGTGTTTAAAATGAAAAATTGTATAGGAATAAGATGAAAGAATGAAGTTGGAAGCATTAGAATCAAATATGGAAATTAAGGCCTAAGACCAGGGGAAGGAGCCGGATTTTGATGAATCTAAGGTCATATTTGGATTCCTTGGGCAAAATTGTGTAGGATTGGCCTAAGAAATCAATTTTTACAAAGCTAGAACACTACATTATAAATTAAGAAAGAAAGAATTAAGTTTAAGGACACAAGTCTTTCATATTGTGTAATTCTTGGTTCTAATGAGTAATGTGACCCTTGTGGTTGTGATTAGGACCTTGAGACATCCAAGAGAAGGTTTAGATGTGATTGACCGAAAGCTAAATGGTTGGGAAGCTTAGGGAGCAAGTTGAAGAATAAGAGAAAGTTTAAAGACACAAGGTAGCAAACTTTACCCTACTCTTATGTGCTTGATATTTGCTTGCATGTATGACATGTTCTGTGTTTATATGGTTTTATGAACTCATGCATTGTGATTGTAAATGTGTTTGAAATGTTTCATAGGCCTAAGTGTTTTATGGTTAATGCATGATGGTTTCCAAACCTGTCACTATGTTATAGAAATGTTAAGTTACAAGCATGTTATGAATGCCAAGCTTGCCATGTATGTTTGGGTGGTTATTATTTGCTACTGAGATTTTCCTGAATCTCACCCTCCCTTAACCAACCATAGTAGATCAAATGATAAAGAGAAGGCATGCATGAAGAAGGGCAAGAAGATGGAAGCAAAGAAAGTGGAGAATTTACATGCGATTCAATGCAATGATTGACATCGCTAATTATGTAATTAATTGTGGATATGTTAAGCATGAAATGTAATGTAATGTTTGATGTATAATGTAATGGCATGCAACTCATAGTATATGAATGAATGGGAATCCATAAGGCTAGTTGTTGCACGTTTGAACTAAGGGAGAATTAAAGTAAAAATTGTTTAATAGATAAAACATAGGTTTTGAAGCAGTCAGTTTCCGACTCCAATTAGACCTATTAAATGAATGAGTTAAGCCATGAAACTTGGAAGACATATTATACACATCCCAAGTTTTAGAATGATAGGTAAATTACCTCAATTGGATGTGTACAGTAAGAGATACGAATTCTTAAAGTTAGACTAAAAATCTGAAATTTAACCAGTGAACAGTAACCCGAGAACCAATTGCAAATTTTTAATCTACGAGCTTGTTTTATGAATCGCTTGAACCATAATGCTTCTAAACGTATACTCTAAGGGATTAAAGGTAGGATGTTTCGCTCTCAAATTAATTAATTAGGTTTTATATTAAAAATTGGAGGAATATATTCTTTTTCTTGTTCTGTGTTTTTCTTTTATTGGACTTTTATCCCTGTTGCTTATACTTTGATTGTGCGGTGACACTTGTCGAGTGACTTTTGTTAGCGTGAAAAAGGAATGGAGAACAAACAATGTCTGATATGATTTCCCAAGTTGACGGTTTTTCTAATGGAAAGTAGTAATAATATTTTACACGCACAAACACTTTATCTTGTCCTCTAAGTAACAATTTATTTTCTTTAAATGGGTGTTGTTCTCCTGTAAGTTATGTTTTGGAAACGTTTTTTTTTTATCTTTAATTAATCATGTGTCTATTTTAATGGAGTACGTTTCATATTCAATTTTTTTAAAAAAAAAAACATGGAGTACTCATCTTAATATAGATTATTCATTTAATTTAAATAATTTTTATCTTTTAAACAAAGTTGATTTTAATAAATACAAAAATTTTAAATAAAGAGAATCACATAAATGATACTTCTTTTAAAAAATAACTTTATTATTGAAAGATTACAGGTTTTAAATGTTTTGCATTTTATTACAACGATGAAGTAAGAAATGAAACTCCGCCTATGTTGTATAACTGGTCCCAAGCCTGGGTAAAGGAGGAGGGTTGTGTTAAGCCTTAACAGCCAACGTAAAACTCTATTAAATCTTTTATGACATGGACTAATGAAGAAATTATGGTACTGCTAGGTCATTGCTCGGAAGTGACACGCTATGTGGCTCAAGAACAATAATGAGAAGTGAGCAAGAGCCGCTACATTGCCGCCTAAATATAGTATTAAATGAGCAAGGGCTATCGTACTCTTATGGACGGAGATAGTTAAAAAAGTTAGTTCATGAAAGCAAGATCAGGTTTGGCACTTAGAGCATTGAGACCCTGTATGGGAAATCAAGGGAGGTGAAGTAATGGACAAAAAGGAAGATTAATATTTTGTGCCTCCAAGAAACTAAATACGTTGGAGAGAAGGTTTGCGAATTTATTAATGGATTCAAACTTTGGTACATGGGAAAGGTAGGCATAAGAAATGGAGCTGCTATTATCATCAATAATGAATGGAAACAGAATGTGATGGAAGTCAAAAAGATAAAAGATAGAATCATTTCTTTAAGAATAATCACGGGGAGGGATACTATTAATGTGGTTAATGCTTATGCACCTCAAGTAAGGGCAGAAGACCATCTTAAGGAGAAATTTTGGGTGGATATGGAGGGTTTGATTCAAAGCATACCACTTGTGGAAAAAGATTTTTATTAGCAGTGATCTTAATAGACATGTTGGTAAAAAAGTCGAACAATATGCAGGAACTCACGGTGGTATGGGTTTTGGAGTGTGTAATAATGAAA